TCACTTAATTATTCATTAAAGATTTGAAGAGTGGATTCATTGAAAATAACGACTTACTCGCGTGAATGAAACGAGAAAAGCTCTAACAGTTTCAGGGCACAACGGGACTCATATTCATGAGCAGCGTGCGCGTAGCGCAGGCAACTCGTTGAATTACCAACTTTTTTTGTGAGGGTATAATCATCAATTGACTGAGTCATTTCTCTTACCCCGCTACCGCGGCTGTACCAACTTGAAACTGGTAGAGGTTTTCTTGGTTCATTCACGTGAGTAGGTAGTCATTTTCAAATAAAAAATGTCTCGCGATATTACCAATGTGGATTAATTCCTGCTAATTATTTTCTAAGACATTGTCGATTTACGAAAACATTTCTATTTAACGCGATAAACTTGTATCTACTAGCTGTATTGGTATCCTTATCGCTAACAGTTCTAAGTTCAATAATAACAACTGTTGGTACCTAATTAACTATTTGCTTGTGGCGACAAAATTATTTACAAATATCATTAATTATATACATCCTGCATTACGAAACAAATTATTTTTATAAATAAAGTAATGATTACTGCACGTAGATTACCTAGATGGTCAGATTTTGGTGATCACAAATAAAAAACTTCAGGACTTGTACCTAAGGTAAGCAATCGGCGGCGTCCATGGACACCGCAACACCAAAAGAATTGCATGAACGTTGCTGGCCTTTTGGGGGTTTAAAGATTGATGGGAGAAGGGAAGGACTCTCACTGGAAACAACACTGTAGTTACGTCACGCCGATTTTCTATGTGGCCGTGGTATCACTCCAGTCGAAGTAAGCTTTTTTGTGATAATGAAATACTGTTTCATGAGATGGATCCGTAAGTTTAGTTCCCCCATGGACGTTTAACATTGGAAATTGTCCACATCCTTTATCATAGGGGGCCAGATACAAACTGGACAAGTCAATTGGGTTGAACGACCTGCCCATCGATCGAAGAACACTTGTATTGAACAACTGCAAAGCGACCTGAGTGCTCTTATCACCTATTTCTCATATCTTGATACGAATACACACTATCGCATATCCGGGAAAAGTAGAGGACACTAAGATATTGTAGTTTCGCAATTAGGTACATACATTCTTGAGTTTGTAATACATACAATTAATTACCTAATTTATTACGAACTTCGTACCTCGATATAAATATATCAATGCCTTGATAGCTTTACTGCATTAAGAAGTTTGGACACCAAATATGAGAATTCTGTAGAAGCCCCTTATCCTCAAACTCCTACTAGGACTAAACATCAGAATCTATACTATGTGACTGCCACAAAAGTAACAAATCTTTTCGGACCTTTTAAACTTTCCCTGGACTACCAAAAATATTTCAAGATCAAAATTAGCTAATTGGAACTAGTGGTTCTCGAGATTTAGTGAGACTAACCAACAGCACTACATTTTTAGATGTCAGACTAGCTACTCTCGCGCGGTTTCACTCGCTTCTCGACTCCATTCGATCGTAGCGTGATGTCATACAGCACTCAGAAACATTTTAGCTATCTATCAGTGAGACAATTTTGGCAATCCGACCAGCGGTTCCAATGATTCCCCCCCCCCTCTTCATAATATTAGTATAGATAACTATTAGAAAAGGTGGTTGAAATAATATAATAATAATGTGAAATAAGAAAAAGCTGTGATGAAAACGTTGCGCGTCGTTAAAATGAAAATAAAAACTTAATTAAAACTAAAAACTTGTAGCTAGCATATCTAAGTACTCAATAAATTATTAAAAATGCGTTTCTATATCTTATATTTAAATCCCTTGTATCCATGTCATGATAAGCTGATAATTATTGTAAAACTACGGATAACAATAGATTAAGGTTTACATTCGATTGTACGCAGTTAAAATTATGTGTGTACAATTCTGTATTAAATACTTTTAATTTAGTTTTAAAGTAGGTAATTAGGTCATGTATTAAAAAATGGCTATAAGATACCTATATTATGGAAAATAATATAAACCTGTTGGGCATAATGCACTTACATCAACGCCGAAGTTGGATCATATTAATTTGTGTTTCTCCTTCGCTATAGGAGACGTTAAAAGTATGTAAGTAATATCTCGTTGATTCAATGCACTTAAGAAAAATTTAGTTTGGACTGAAAGGAGTAAGTACACAAGGGCATCGTCAAGTAAAGTTTTTTTAGTTAACAGAAACAAAACCTATTTTGAGGATCGGATATCATCAAATGACTTCACCCGTCCTGGAATACTTTGCGCGTTGAATGAATATCTTTTAGCTCACAAGAAGAAAAACACCAATATCGGCCAATAAATTTGAGATCAAATTTAATTTATGTACATGTTTATAGTTTTATCGTACGTAGTAATAGATACGTATATTTGCAAATATAGTACACCATGTTTTATTGCCAGTTCCTAAATTATTTTCATAAACTTTCAAAAATCCAAGCTAAGGTTGATCGTCAAGAAACAAGTAAGTATAAACGTTATTATAATTATATGCTTTACAGAATAATATTATGTTAATGCATTGGAATAATAACTAATTACCCATATGTTTGTGTGTTTTGCAGTGTGTTTACTTATCGAGCAAAAAATGAACTTGACTTCTGAGTCGTAACCGTTATGATTATGATGTAGCAATCGAGTCAAGGCGATGTACTTAATCGATATATTGTGATTCAATCGATTATAATCGTTATAAGAACCACTTAGAGTGCCAATAAGTGTTTGTCGATTGCAACTATTGACCTTAGGAAAGATTTGAGTTCATTATTTTGGTTGAGGATTTCCAATAGTTATTTATAAATATAGAATTGTGGGAAAAACCTTAGGAATCTTATACAATATTTGCAAGCTTATATTTAACATGCAATGTATATTCGTAAGTATGTAAGAATGTTTGTAAAGTGGGAATTTGCCACTCAATTTTGAAAGAGATATCTTCAACCCATTTATCTAATTAAAATTTTGAAAACTTCATAACCTTAGAACAAAGTCCTTAGAAATGCATTCAAAATCAAGTAAAGTGTTTCGTCCTGAGACTTATTTGGTCTACCTGATAAATGTTTGTTTTCATTAAGTTTTTTATTTAACTTTTTTCAATTTTAGTTTGATATTAAATTATGTCTATTTCTATACCTATATTATCTAAATGATCTGAGTTGTTCTCGGCTGGAAAGTAGCGACATACATATATGTATGTATAGCTCCTTGAAAAGAAGCATACCAATCTTGAAAGAATTTTTGAATAAAGCAAGATTGTATAAATAAAAGAAAACAACTGAATATCCTTTTTATAATTAATTGATTGCACGCTCGGCTCAAATAGTAGAAATATATATTATGTACGTATGTATGTATTTTTTTTTGTTTTGAATATAAAATTTTAAAATACAGTCAACTCTTAAACTGAATCTAAAAATATATTTGTATTCTAAAATTCTTTCACGACTGGCAAGCTTCCTTTCAAGAAGGTCGTAATTATGTCGCTAGTTATCAGCCGATAACAACTTAGGTCATTTCAAATCACACAAACGTGACAGACAAGGGAGGCTAAAATAATCAATGTCCTTTCCTAATAAGTAAGTACGAATCCTTCCCAGCGTAACACATTTCCTCCTAAATTATTAAGTATATACTGAACTACTAATTACCACACGAGTAGATAATCTTCTAAGGATTAATTTCAAGTCTTTTATCATTGATAAATATGACAAAGTCCTGACTCAGCGACATTTTCATTATTTCTTATTCCTCCATTGTCTTGTAGAGTATTTAAAAACGAAGCGTCTAATCTTGTATTTAATTAGTCCCACGAGCTACTTATTTTGTTTTGCATTGAAAAATGGGTTTAAATTACAAGAACTATAAATTCTTTTTTTTTTTGTTACGTCAAAAATTATATTTTTCTATTCATTTTGCATGAGATTACAAAATTGTGACGTCAACATTTTACGTCAAATGTCATAATTATTTATCTTGATTTAATTCTGTAAAAAATAAATATAAACAAGCATGAAATTAATTCAATGAGTAGGTATTTCGTAATTATAAGACGTTCAAATGGATTTGAGGATAATATTTATTTTTGGATGATTGTATATTAAAGCAAATGCAGACTTACTAAGTACGGTTCTTTAAATGAATGAGATGTAGAAATTCATCTTTCAAAACATCTCTTCGAGTATACTATATATACTCTCGTTTTTCGTCGGAGACTCGAGTTCGCATTTTAGATTAATATAAATAAGTACGCATAGAAACTGGACTTCACCTACAGTAATAAAGCCAGGGAGGAAGCTTAAGTGCGATTTATTACTGAGCCATTTCCTTTTGAAGTCTATCCGGAATCAATACCACATTTATTGGACGTAAATTCAATTTAATTAGTGTTTCAATTGTGTTTTTGTTTTACTTTATTTATTACATTATTACGTTCTCATTGTTTTCGTTCTCTTAACTTCTATCAATCTAAAAACAAAAAAAAATACAAATGCCTACAAAATGATAAATACGTGATTAGCTCATGTTGTAATTAAGTGGCAATTACGCTTCCTAGCACCATGTTTATTTGTTCAGACAAGACTATTATATAGACGTTAACTTCGTAACAAACAGTCGAACAAAGACGCTAAGATATTATTGATATTTTATTATCATGTTACTGACGATATAATCATAATAAGTACAGATAGTTCGCGTTGCATATCGAATAACATTATCACGACTTCTTGTCACTATTTCGATAGGTACGTAAGTAGGTACCTACTTTGTTTACTCTGTAATGTTACTGGTCTATGTAGGACAGTTCAATACCTCTAATTGTAAAGTAATAATTAAAGAAAATGACCATGATACACTTTTCATTTGTTTTTGTTTTGCTAGTGATTGATATAAGGGTAATAGACACTACAACCTACACCATTTCCACAGTTTCAGAAATCCTTTCAGAAAATAAATACATAAGAAAAGTTCAGTGATTTACCTTTAGTTATTCCCAGTTTGACTGTGCACGTAATATTGCTGAAATGTATGTCCACTGGATCAACTTTGGGGACCATGTGTAGGCCCTGCGCAGACGCAGGGTTCCAGCCAACCGGCTGAGCTTCCCGAGACGATCCTTGGACGGGAGGCATCGTGACACTACTCCCGGTATTCCCAGAGTTCCCGGATGTATACGCCACACTACTTTCGTCAACAATCTGCGCGCCGGCGAGCATCATTTTGATCGCGAACTAAATGTTACTTCGGCTCAAGTTCCGCGCGTGCGCGCTGCGTTACGTCGCGCATTCAAGTGCGCGCGCGCTTCGCTCCACCTCGAAGTGGACTATCGGAACCCTTTGTCCGTAGCCGGTAAATAATTGCACACGCATTTGTTTCATTGCACGTTAATTTGTAAATTAGTGTTGGACAACACTCTATTAGCGTGTACCTACGTGTGCGTGCGTGCTTGTGTGTGGGTATCGGTGAACAATACCCTTTATTGTAACGTTAGCGCGTTACTCGTAATATTAATGTACTCGGAGACAAAGATGCGCATTTCTTCCTAAAATTAAACGGACAACAGAACCCTTTGACGTTGTAAAATAAAGCACAAACAGCGCTTAAGTGCTTGAAGGTCCAATGACGACATATTGGTACCTACTCGTATATGTATAAAAATATTGCTAGTGCTAATTAAAGTACTTTAGTGCTACTAAATTCCTCACATTTTTTAACTTCAATAAAAACGTAGTACCTGGTTAAGTACATTATATCCGGAAAAATCAGACAAAATCAAAACTTGATGCGAAGGACAAAAAAATTGACACATTATTTGTTGGGGTAAACTCTATAGCAAAATAGTACTTAGTCATCATAGAGCCAAGGAATTTAATTATTAAAGCGAGAGATAGATTACCATAACTTTAAAAGCAGATAATATACTAACATCGTATTAATATGGAAATAGTCTCAGAACATTACATATTGCTTTCTTAGAATTAAATAACTATACTATAAATACCTAAATAAATAAATAGCAACTACGCAAACTATAAAATGTAGCAATTCATAGATTTAAAAAAATACTTAAAATATTACTACTAATTTTATTTTATTCAAATTTCGGCGAAGAAGGGGGAACGACCTCAGGAAATCGGACATTGATAATATTAGCGCCACCTATGTACACGTTTAGGAACTATATACATATTTACTTGTGACGAATATAATGTAGTTCTTACGTAAATCGATAGGTAGCGTAACTATACATTTATTTTAGTTTGATGAGTGGACTAGAGATGGCGTTACCTATTTATTAGAGATCAATATTATTTTGGAGAGTTTGTGAGGTCATTGAACGCTGTCTTGGCCCATAATCTGATGTGGCAGGTACATTTGCAATTCAGTTTATAGAAATAACAAACTAAGCTAAAGAAATAAAGAAAAAAGAAAAATGCAATTATGCACGCCACCATAAAAATATACGGTATTGGTTAGCAATAGCATAAATATAAGAATAACCAGAATAACAAGTAGATACCTACATTAAAATTCTAAATTTAAACAAAATTACCAAAAATAATAAACAAATAAAAATGACAACAACAACCTTAATCAAACAAGCTTCGACGGATTCATTCAAGTGTCCAACACAATCTATCCTTAGTCATAGTCCATAGTCCACAGTCCAAAGTTTACATCACATATCATCAGCCTATAAGTACCTACTGCTGGTGACTGGACACTGCTGAACAAAGGCTTCCCACACCGATAAGGTCATTTTTGTAAGGGGAAAATCATCAAATGACTTCTCCCGCCCAGGGTAAGGCGGGAGGGAGTGTCAGACTCTTACTGACTAAAAACCCTCCCATTTCTTCTCTTGCTCTGGGCCGAGGTCGCGGTGCCTCATTGCGCTTACCCCGCAACCCCGGCTAAACATCAGCCCTATTGGGCCCCGTCGGTGGAAGAAGGTTTGAATCTTAATTCGCTTGCTCAAGGTGGAATGGCTTTTTCAAACTTATAGTCCAGTTTTCCTACCGATGTTTTTCTATACCGTGGGGTCTAAGTAATCTTAGAAAGTATATGAATTATATTTTGATGTAACAGCACGGCATAAACGGGCAGTTTACATTGTATATCATACCTACATTATTAGTTCTACAATTGTAAGTATTAAATTCTTCTACAGTCGAACTCCATCCAAAGGTCGTATGAAAGTAGGTAATTAATCGTTTTTTTGCGATCAGACCGCCAATTTGTACTGCCTTTTGTGTTTGTTGTTTCCTGTGTTTTTTTATTATTGTGGTGTACAATAAAGAATATTTTATCCACATTATTTTTATGTGATAGAACGGCAGACAAGCAATCGTATTACCTGATGGTAAGCAGTCAGCGCTGCCCATAGACTTTCGCATTAATGGAGGAGTTACGAATGTGACATTTTGGGATTGGTGAAGGATTGGAGGAGGGGAAGGATTGGGCCTCCCGGTAACCTCACTCACACGGGGAAACTCAACGCTGTGGTTGTTTCACGCCAGTTTTCCGTGATGCCGTTATATCACTTCGGTCGAGCTGAAACATTCGTTAAATTCCTTTTTTTCTTCCACACTTAGGTACATTCTATAACTTAGAAACTTCCAGTATAAAATTTCCTACATATACTCAAATATGTAACTTAAGACCGACTTACAGTTACTATTTATAGTACAGAATCTAATTTTACCAACCAATCCCTAGACACAGTTCATTTACACATTGAAAGCGATACGTCTCTAGTATCACATTTTCTTCAAGTTTGGATTTGCTATTACAGTCGCTGGGGATTGGGGCTAACATGATGACGAAGATGATGATACTGATTGTTTTTTTATGTTATAGATCGTCAATCGAGCAGCAACTGGTAAGCAAGCTAACGACAAAAGAGTTACTACATTTTATTATTAGGGATTTGAGGATTTAGGTTTGAGGATGAGGGTTAAGGATTGAGCCTCTGGTAACCTCAGTCATATGGCGAAACACAACGAAAGTACCTAAGTGTTGTTTCACGCCGATTTTCTGTGAGGCCGACGGTCTAGCCGAAGCATGGCTCTCCCACACTTAATCCAGAACACTAATACCGACCTTACTTAACGTTATCTATACTTATAATAAATCTGTAGAGAGGTCAATTCTGTACATTAACTATATTTTCAAAATAACTATCAGGGGGTGATAAGTGATCGATACTGATGCCAAAAATGCAATCAGTAAAATTTTTGTCTGTCTGTCTGTCTGTCTGTGTGTTCTTTATAGAAACAAAAACTACTCGACGGATTTTAATGAAACTTTGTTCAATTATTCTTTATACTCCTGGACAGGTTATAGAATACTTTTCATCACGCTACAAATAATAGGAGCAGAGCAGTTAAGGGAAATGTTGGGAAAACGGGCGAAGTTACTCCCTTTTTTAAGTTTCCGTCGCGTGTGTAGCCTTAATGATTAAAGTTACATAGAAATGATGTATGACGGTAATATTTTACATAAAATTATCTCAAAAAAATGTTATACGGCATATATCCATCTTTTATGGTTAACTCACAATTGCACGTGCAACTCCTGATAGCTCAGCAATTCGGATAATAAGCCATCGCGCCATTGCATGTGAAAACTGAATCATGCTATAGGGATTATTTTTATGTAACTGTTGCAGCGCTCGACGCGACGCGGTATAAATATAATATAATAGTGGGTTTTATGAAATATTTTTAATACTTACCTATTAGTTAGATCCGTACCATTCTATCTATGGACGGGCGGATGGCGGAGACTTAGTAAGTACTATTAAATGAGATGATTAATAACAAATTTCATGTATAGCTACTTCGATTTTGTTCTATTGCTATAGGCTGCTTTTCATCAAAACAGCACGCGGGCGAAGCCGCTGACGGAAGCTGGTATACAATATTATCGGTCATCGGGTATTCTAAGTTACCTTAGCTTTTGGCTTCTGTTCTCACCTATAAACATCATATTATGGCTAATCACTTTTTCTTTCATATCGTTCCTTCTATTTCTTTCTTTTTGAAAAGGGATTGGTAGGCATTTAAATTATAACTATAATTAAAAATATATGTATATACAGTCGAAAACTTGGTTTAGGTTCCTTCGCTTGATTATTTACCAACGTATACTATGGTTTACCAATGTCCTAGTTAAGGCACCTAATATTCTGAACTTTTTATGGCTTCAGGCGAAAGTGTGTATTCTACATTAGTATTTTCTCAATAAAATTTGATTTTATTTAACACTTCGGGCCTCTCCTCTTTCTCTCCAAGACCGGGGGATTCATTCAATAAAATTCGGCAATAGAAAAAGAAAGGCACGTCTTTAAAACTAAAATTAGGTAAACAAAACAGAAACATACCATGTATGTAAGTAACTAGGTATATACTCATTAATGCTTCTCAATCAATCACCCGTTAGAACTATTTAATTGTAGACACGAGACGAGATACGTCATTTCACATCCTGTTTCACTTATAATCGTTGTGTTGTTAAAAGTAGTTTAGGTATGCTAAAGTACTACTTATAGGTTTTTTGTACCATTGATCGAGATGTCGAACAAAGTTAAGATCCGTTCGATGGGAAATTGTTGACTATGTTTTGCTTAAGCTCCATCCATCTGTAGGTCGAGCAGGAGGATTCTCTAGCTAGAAAATTGGAGTGGGAAGTGCAAAAGGTAGGGTATTTTCCCTACTGCTATGAAGAAAATGATGATAATTATACATATATATTCGTTTATAGTGTTTAGGAAGCTTAAAATATATAGAAAGATAAAAAAAACATTACCTATCTCTAATCCGCTTGCTGCAGGTATTAAGGTTTGCAGTTGAAGATGACCCCATAAACAGGCACAATTAATCAATCTGAAATTGACAATCTCAGACAAGCAATGGTGAGCAGCACCAATCGTCAACTATGTGTGTGTTTGTGTTGTATTGTGTGTCTTTTATTTTTTATTAGTTTCTTTCAAATATAAAACTACACATTTACCTTAAACTAGGCATACAATTAGACCTCTAAGGTCTGCCTTAACATGGCTGTCTTTGACTGGGGTGATTCAAACCTTGCTAAATTCAATGCATCAAAAACTTGGGCGTGTCTTTTCAGTACAAAAACAAGCTTGGTAGCTACATCGTGACTAGGGCTTTGACTACTTCCAAAAAACTGAGTGTCCTTTCCAAGATAAGGAAATATTTTACTCCAAGCCAGTTGTTAAGCCTATACATAACTCCAGAACGCCCGTGTATGGAATACTGCTCCCAGATTTGGAATGGATCCGCCCAATACCATCTTGAAGCCCTCGATGCTATCGTCAGGCGAGCCAGAAGACTCGTGGGTGACGAGACACTTACGACAGGCTTCAAAGTCTCGAACACCGCCGTTTAGTGGCCTGCCTATGTGTGTTCTAC